GGCCTGATGGGCCAGACTCCTAGGTGGTGAGTCTGTGAGCTCTGCGTTTTAAATAAGCACTTCGGTACCACTGGTGTGTACTGTGTACTTGGAGTCACACAAAATGATTCCTCCAGTGCACCGTACTGTTCCTCTACTCCATGCCTTTGCACAAGCTTTGCCTCTTCCTGGAACATCCCTACCTTCTCATCTCTCTCTCTGAAGACTCGACCCAAGTGGCCCGTCTTCTGGAAAGCCTTCTGTAACTCCTCAGGCCAATTTCAGAGCCTTTTCTTTCCCCTCCTCTAGGCTGTGGCTGAAGCCCTCTACGGCAGCACTTTCACATCTCATAACCCCTGGTTTATCATTCATCCCCTCTCCAGAACATGAGCTCCTCTGTCCTGTTCATCTGGCTCTCCAGCAACCTTGTACACCCTGCCGCCATAGTAGATGCTTGCCAAATGTTCATCTGATTCACTTCCAGCATCACCTTTCTGCTCCATCCCCTTCCAGTAGGCTACTGTGGGTCAATGTTACATTTTAATTCATCAGGAACACATTCAGCTGCAAATAGCAGAAAACCCAACTCATAATGGCCTAAACAAAGATGCTTAATTATTCTCCCATCCCAGAAGTGCAAGGGGAGAGGGTTCAATTGTGGTACAAGGGTTCCACTCTGCCAACAAGATTCCAGGCTCTTTCTGTTCTGCTTCTCCTAAAATGTTGCTTTTGTTACATAAAATGAGCAACCGCTTTCACTTGTTCATAAGGTTCATTTAATATGCATATAACATTAAATTCCCCTAATGAATTAATGTTATTTATAACCATTGGTAATTGAAAGATTGTAAATATTTATACATTTAATATACCCAATTAAATTTTTTTTTTAATTTTATTTTTTTGAGACAGACCAGCACTCAGGTTGGAGTGCAGTGGTGTGATCATGGCTCACTGCAGCCTCAGCCTCCCAGGCTCAGGTGATCCTCCTACCTAAGCCTCCCAAGTAGCTGGGATTACAGGCATGTGCTACTACACCCAGCAAATTTTTATATTTGTTGTAGAGACAGGGTTTCACCATGTTCCCAGGCTGGTCTTGAACTCGTAGGCTCCAAAAATCTGCCCACCTTGGCTTCCCAAAGTGTTGTGATTACAGGTGTGAGCCTGTAATCCGCACCTGGCCCCTGCTTTTCTTAAGCGTTTCTAATGCAGAACAGAGCAGATAAGCACATTTTTCTAAGCACCGAAACAACTTTTGTAAATTGAATTAATTAAACTATTGTAAATCAAGTGGTTTTAAAGAGTTTGTACTCTACAAACTTAAATTCTTTTATGCCTTTCAATGTAAAAGCATCAGTCTGTAATCACTTTTCAGATTGAAATCCAAAACTGACATTATCAAATATGTTACATTCTATCAAACATTACAGACGTTTTAAGTAACAAATACATCAGATTGTCTTGAAAGCAAAGTATTTTCCCATTCTTCATACTTCTATATAATCATTTCAACTGTATGTCTTTTGTAATCATATGATGAAGAAATTTGTATCTTTTCCATTAAAGTGAACTCCTGAGAGATTTCACTGGAAAAAAATATAACAATAAAGAAATGCAAATAAAAGCAAACAGCATTTTTTTCTTTTACAGGTGTTGAAAAATTTTTAATGTATAAGATTGATTAGAGAAACAGGCAGTGTCACTATTAGGAGTACAAATGGTTATCAACTTTTTGGAGAAAAGTTTGGCAATTTGGCCCAAATTTTAAATTATTTTTTCCTTTGGTAGAAAAAAATTCCACATCTAAGAATTAATTCTACCAAAATACCTCTCTATGGATCAATGATATTTGTATAAAGATGTCCTCTGAAACATCATGTATAATAATAAAATACTGGAAATAACCCAAATGCCCATTAAGAATATACTGGTTAAATAAATGTGGCACATCGTGTAGGTAGCAGCATTGAAAGGAGACCCATATTTAACACCTAGAATGGTTCATGGCAGGTGATGGGCTTACAATAAATATAAATGAATGAAAAAGACATCAAAAATAACTTACGATATGGTTTCTTCTGTTCATCCATCCATTCATTCATTCTGCAAGTATTCTGTGGGGAAATAATGGTAAGACAGATCCAGGCATTTCCCTCCCAAAACATATAGTGTATTAGAAAGATAGTCATTACTGGCCAGACGTGGTGGCTCAAGCCTGTAATTCTAGCACTTTGGGAGGCTGAGGCAGGTGGATCACTTGAGATCAGGAGTTCAAGACCAGCCTGGCCAACATGGTGAAAACCTATCTTTACTAAAAATACAAAAATTAACCAGGCATGATAGCGGGTACATGTAATCCCAGCTACTCAGGAGGCTGAAGCACAAGAATCACTTGAACCCAGGAGGCGGAGGTTGCAGTGAGCCAAGATTGCACCACTGCACTCCAGCCTGGAGATGGAGAGCGAGACTCCATCTCAAAAAAAAAAAAATTGGTTGGATCTATTCCATATCTAATAATGGTTTTAGGGTTGCAACAGGATTAGTGTGACTTTTACACTCTACATAAGACATCCCTGTGTTACTTGAAATTTTCTTTCAGTATATCTTGCTTTTATAATCAGACAGAAAATAAATGTATACATTTTAAACCCACATAAGCAGTTTTCATACTGTCTCAGTGGTTCCCAAGGCAGCTGGAGAAGAAGGGTGAATTTACATGCATGCCCGAGAGGAAAAAATATGGTAGAGCTGCCGCTGGCACGGTAGGCAGAATTCTAAGACAGCCCCAAGATTCTTGCCGCCTATGCACACACCTCAGTTATTCAGTCAAACACTAATCTAGGTATGACAGACTATTTTCCAGATATGTTTAAGGCTTTTAACTAGCTGATTTTAAATTAGGGAGATTATTGTAGGTGGGCCTGACCTAATCAAGTGAGCCGTTAAAAGAAGGCAGAAGTCAGAGATTCAAGCAGAGCAGATTCTCCTGCTGCCCTTCAGTAGCAGCAACCAAGTTGTGCGTTACGCATGGCAAGAACCTGAGAGTGCCTTCTAAGAGCTGAGAGGGTCCCCAGCTGACAGCCACAAGATAGCAAGGACCTCAGACCTCAACCACAAGAAACTAAAATTCTTTTTTTATTTTTTTTGAGACAGTCTCATTCTGTCGCCCAGGCTAGAGTGCAATGGTAAGATCTTGGCTCACTGCAACCTCCACCTCCCGGGCTCAAGTGATTCTTGAGTAGCTGGGATTACAGGCATACACCACCACGCATAGCTAACTTTTGTATTTTTAGTAGAGATGGGTTTTCACCATGTTGACCAATCTGGTCTCAAACACCTGACCTCAGGTGATCCACCTACCTCGGCCCCCCCAAAGTGCTGGAATTACAGGTGTGAGCCACTGTGCCCGGCCAAGAAACTAAAATTCAACAACCAATGAGCCTGGGAAAAGATCCCAACCCTCAAAGATCATAGCTTTGGCTGTGACACCCTGCATTCAGCCTCGTAAAACCCTGATCCATTCTTAGACTCTTGACTCAAGGGAATTGTGAGTTAATAAATTCATATTCCTATAAGTCGATAATTTGTGCTAATTTGCTACACAAGAAACAAATAGAGTTGGTATTGAGAAATAAATTGCTTATAATCTGCAACCTGACATACTTGTCCCCAGCCGATGCTTAGGAGTTAAAAAAAAAAAAGTTGAGAAGTGGAGGAAATGCTGTACTGTATGACAGGTAACTGGGTAATCAGATAAAACTTGTGTCCATATGACTGTATGCCATCAATACGGTCTTGCCCGTAAATTAACTTTTCCTCATGACTGCAAGTGGCTCTACAATTGCCTTGACAACACTGACCTTTCCAGAAATATTTTTATCAGTGTTTGCTTTAGAGATGTAATGAATACAGGCCATAAGCATTTTCTGTTCCTCTCTCAGTCCTAGCTGTTGCAACCCTGTAGAACTTATGTGGACTGTTCTTTGTGTTAGCCTGTTCTCTGCGTGTGCTCAGTATCTTCCCTTAACCAACCTCCACGTTCTCTTCCTCCCTTATTTCCTTTCCATCATGTTGTCAAAACCTGAAGTTGTGTCCTCTAGGAAACAGTTTCGGACTCTTACATAAAGCCTCATAGAGCCTTGACTCTTTCATGTGAGAGGTCAACCATCTCTTACCGACTTCATTTTAAAATTTAATTTGTTTATTTAGAGATGGAGTCTCGCTTTGTTCCCAGGCTGGAGTGCAGTGGCGAGATCTCGGCTCACTACAACCTCTGCCTCCCGGGTTCAAGCAATTTTCCAGCCTCAGTACTCCCAAGTAGCCGGAACTACAGGCACCTGCCACCATGCCCAGCTAATTTTTGTATTTTATTTATATATTTATTTATTTTTGAGATAGAGTTTCACTCTTGTCACCCAGGCTGGAGTGCAATGGTGCAATCTTGACTCACTGCAACCTCCACCTCCCAAGTTCAAGCGATTCTCCCGACTCAGCCTCCCGAGTAGCTGCGATTACAGGCATGCATCACCACAGCTGGCTAATTTTGTATTTTTAGTAGAGACAGGGTTTCTCCATGTTGGTCAGACTGGTCTCAAATTACTGACCTCAGGTGATCCGCCCGCCTCAGCCTCCCAAAGTGCTGGGATTACAACAAGCATGAGCCACCAAGCTGGGCCCAATTTTTATATTTTTAGTAGAGACAGGATTCACCATGTTGGCCAGGCTTGTCTCAAACTCCTCACCTCGGGTGATCCTCCCACTTTGGCCTCCCCAAGTGCTGGGATTACAGGCATAAGATACTGCACCCGGCCTCTTACCGACTTTAAATACCATTAAATGTTAACTTTAAATTACATTAAACATCAACCTGTCATGGCTAGTTTTTTGTTTTTTGTTTTTTTTTTCATTTCTGTACACTACCAGCCAAAATAAAATTTAAGAATGTTTTATTCAGAAAAGGAAATTATACCAGAAACTACAGAGAAGTATGGAATTGAGGATCTTTTTTCCTTTCCCTTTAGAGTATGAAGCTGAGCAGCCTCCCTTTCCAGAAGGATATAAAGTCAAACATGAGCCTGTGATTACTGTGAGTATTACCCAGGCCTCAACCTGAGTAAGAAGTTCTTAAATGAGAATAGCATGGATTGCTTGTGAATGTCAGGCAGTGTATGAGTTCAGGAGGTGGGAAAAGGGAGGCACCAGAGTGAGAACCAGAAACTTGGGGCCGATCCCTGCGCTAATACTAACAGTGTGACTTAGGGGGTATCACATAACCTCTTTGAGCCTTAGTATCAGTGTCTATTTTATTCATCTGTTTATTTTCTGAGACAGGGTCTTGCTCTGTCGACCAGGCTGCAGTGCAGTGGCACCATCTCAGCTCACTGCAACCTGAGTAGCTGGGACTACAGGCACCTGCCACCATGCCTGGGAGTTTTAGTCAAGACAGGGTTTCATCATGTTGTCCAGGCTGGTCTCAAACTCCTGACTTCAAGTGATCTGCCTGCCTCAGTCTCCCAAATGTTGGGATTCCGGGTGTGAACCACTGAATCCAGCCGGGTTTCTGCAGTTATTAAATGGGACAGATGATCCTTGAGTAATTCACAGGGCTTCTGTGGGGCTCACATGAGATCCTGGATGAGAAAGGCCTTTGCAGTGCACCATATCCATTGTGAGGATAGCTGCAGTTAGAGCAAGCTTCTCTGCTTCCTGGGTAGGCAAGATGATGACTAAGAGAAGGCAAAGGACAGGGCAGCCAGGAAGAGACACCCTCATGAAGTCTACCTTGGAATTAGAAAGGAACTTAAGAGTTTAAAATTTTTAAAAAGCAAGGCTCTGAGAGATGAAGGGACTTGAGTCTGGTAACAGGGATGGAACCAAAACCTGTTTCTGGACATGTAGTAACTGCCATGGCTGCAGCTGCCTGCGACAGAGACCTTGTGTCTAAAAACCGTCTTGTTCTGTGATTGTTCCTTAACTCCTTAAAGCATCCTTAAAGCATTGTTCCTTAAAGCATCCCGTTCTTGCTTTATGGATGCAATTCTTTCTCAAGTTTCTCTGCAGATACAAATCACAGTTCTCTCACCTGAATTCTCTGTGCTGCTTCCAGGTTCAGTTGTTCTAATAGTTGCTCTTCACCTTCTGTACTATGGTCTTCTTGACCTGTGTAAAGAGATTCAATTGTTTGTTTAAAATGTACAATGGTCCTCAGTGGATTTTTCTATATAGCTGGTATACTAGGGTTCCCCAGAGAGACAAAATCAGTAGGAGACAGATAGATAGCTAGCCAGATAGATAGATAGATAGATAGATAGATAGATAGATAGATAGATAGAAGGGATTTACTGGGTAATTGGCTCACACGATTATGGAGACTGAGTAGGCCGTCTGCAAGCTGGAGAACCTGCTTGGAAGGGAAGCTGCTAGAGTGGCTCAGTCCAAATCCAAAAGCCTCAGAGCCAAGAAAAAACAACAGTGTTAACTACCAGTCTGAGGGCCTCTGTTTATGATACATGGCAGGGTTAAGTGGAAATCTGGCTGGGCCTAATTAGGCTCTGAGAGCCCCAGGGACTAGGGTCAGAGAACCTGGAGTTCTGAGGTCCAAGGGCTGGAGTAGAAGGGTGTCCTGGCTCCAGAAGAGAGCAAGAATTCACCCTTCCTCACCTTTTTGTTCCTTCCAGGCCCCCAGCCAATCCAGTGGTATCTGCCCACATTGAGAATAGATCACCACTCAGTCCACCAACATGCACACCAGTCTCTTCCAGAAAACTCTTGCTGTCACACCCAGAAATAATACTCTGCTAGTTACCTAGGTATCCCTTACTCCAGTCAAGTTGACACTGAAAATTAACCACCACAATATCACAGCTGGTGTGGTTTTCTTCTACTGCAGTATATGTGAGTTTGTTTTCTGTATGGGTCTCTTCCATGAATAGCAGAACACTGACTGGGTGCTCATGAAGAGTGATTGTCCACTGGCAGACTTTTCTTTAGGATGAACAGGCAGAGAGTTGGTATTTTGGGATTGGGCAGGGGGGTCTCCAAATCAATTTTTTTCTTTCGTTTTTGAGAAAGGGTCTCACTCTGTCACACCAGGCTGGAGTGCAGTGGTGCAATCAGGGCTCACTGCAGTCCCAACTTCCTGGACTCAAGCGATCTTCCCGCCTCTGCCTCCCAATGCTGGGACTACAGGCGTATGCCACCACTGCCAGCTAATTATTTTTGAATTTTAGTAGAGATGAGGTCTGTGTTGCCCAGGCTGGTCTGGAACTCATGGGCTCAAGCCATCTGCCCTTCTCAACCTCCCAAAGTGCTAGAATCACAGGTGTGAGCCAACGCACCCTGCCCAATTTTTTTTCTTTTGCCACCATCATGGTGCCCTAAGCAGTTCTAAGTGTTCTGCTCCTTTTCAGGTTGTTTCATTGGTTCATGAAAGAATCTAGAGAGCAGGGGGAGCTGGAGACCCAATGCTGGTATGAACACAGCTTCATGATACTGAGGGAGCAGAAGCCTGAGGGGAGTGTGGACAACAGGCCGCGTTAGCCCTGCCGGATTTCCACCCCACCTCGCCATATATCATTCCATTCTTGTTCCCACCCTGTGCAATGCCTGTCAACTTGAGTGTTGTGTCCCTTTGGGATCCGATAGGATGATCGATGTCTGTCCTCTGGGTCAGCTTCCTCCTGTGACTGTTACTTCCACTCTTGCTTTTTTTTTTGAGATGGAGTTTCACTCTTGTTGCCCACGCTGGAGTGCAGTGGCATCATCTCAGCTCACTGCAACCTCCACCACCCAAGTTCAAGCAATTCTCTTGCCTCAGCCTCCCAAGTAGCTGGGATCACAGGCACCCACCACCATGCTGGGCTACTTTTTTGTATTTTTAATAGAGACAGAGTTTCACCATGTTGGCCAGGCTGTTATTGAACTCCTGACCTCAGGTGATCCACCTGCCTCAACCTCCCACAGTGCTGGGATTACAGGCATGAGCTTCTTGCTTTTTGAGTGAGGCTTCGTCCCTGGTGTTTTGTATATGTTTACAAATCTCTCATCCACAGATGTTCCTCTTTTTCTCTGTCAGGGGTTTTTGCCTTGTCATTTATAGGTGTCTCAGGAGGGAAGGGAGACAAAGATTTGTGCTCAGTGTACCCCCCCGAACCTAAAGTCTGATGTAGAATTTTGTTCCTTTATAACATTCTACAAGAAAATACAATTATTTAAACTGTTCGAATGAATTGCCTCCCTTCTCCTGCCTGCCTCCAGGTTGCAACAGTAGAGGAAATGCTTTTTCACGGCTTCAATGCAGAGCACTATTTTCCTGTTTCCCATTTCACCATGATCTCACATACACCCTGTCCTCAAGACAAATCGGAAACAGTCAACCCAAAAACATGTGAGTAAGAGAGATGCCATCTTTTATAACATTGCAGAACCAAAGGGTGGGTGTGGAGGTGGACAGACCTCAGGATACCACATATATAAGAAAGAATGTATGCTTGTTTTATTGTTAAATGTCCTTTATTTCACTGATGTATCTTTAAGATTAAAACAGTAATAAAGAAAATAAGTGACAAAAAGCATACTTTGATTTTATACTAAATAAAAAGTAGGAAAAGAGAACAGTAAACAACTGTAGCTGGCTGTGATGGCTCATGCCTGTAATATCAGCACTTTGAGAGACCACGGCAGGAGGATTACTGGAGCCCTGGGACACCTCATCTCTACATCTCTATAAAAAATGAAAGTCCAGGAGGCTGAGGCAGGAGAATTGCCTGAACCCAGGAGGCGGAGGTTGCGGTGAGCTGAGATCGCGCCATTGCACTCCAGCCTGGGCAACAAGAGCGAAACTCAGTCTCAAAAAAAAAAAAAAGAAAGTAAACAATTATGGCCAGACATGGTGGCTCACGCCTGTAATCCCAGCACTTTGGGAGGCCAAGGCGGGGGGATCATTTGAGGTCAGGAATTTGAGACCAACTTGGCCAACATAGTAAAACCCTGTCTCTACTAAAAATTGCTTGAATCTGGGAGGTGGAGGTTGCAGTGAGCTGAGATTGTGCCACTGAGATTGTGCCACTGCAATCCAGCCTGGGCGACAGAGCAAGACTCCATCACAAAAGAAAAAAATTAGCCAGGCATGGTGGTGCATGTCTGTAACTCCAGCTACTCGGGAGGCTGAAGCAGGAGAATCGCTTGAACCCAGGAGGAGGCGGAGGTTACAGTGAGCTGAGATCGGGACACTGCATTCCAGCCTGGGCAACAGAGCAAGACTCCTTCTCAAAAAAAAAAAAATGAGCTGGGCGTGGTTGCATGTACTTGTAGTCCCAGCTACTTGGGAGGCTAAGCTGGGAGGATTGCTGGAACTCAAGAGGTCCAGGCTGCAGTGAGCTATGATCGTGCCACTGCACTCCAGCCTTTTTTACAAAAAAAAAAAAAAACAAAGTAAAAAGCAGAAGAAAACATCATGCTTCTCTGCTTTGTGTGTAGAAGCCAGAGGTGTAGAATGCAGATCTGAGTCATAGTTCCTTGGGCCGTCCCCGGTGCCACACCATCTCCTGCTGTTTTGTTCTGTGCCTCCTGCATGCTTTGGGCCTTGGCTGACCACTGCCTTTATTACTCTGACCATAATACCTTATCCATTCCACTCTCACTCCCAGTTCCTCTCTGGTTCCAGTTCCCACCACACTCCCCTTGTTTCTGTCTCTCTGGCCACACTGGCCCCCTTGATGTTCCTGCTTTGGAGTCATACCAAGCTGATGGACCTGGCCTTATGTAGGATACTTCCTACACCTTCACCAGACTACAGAGGCTCAGAGGGACATTTTAAGTTACTTTAGTAATACAGCCCAGCTCTGCAGTCTGGAGCAAAATAGAACCTCTAAGATCATGTGACTGAATGGACAGTACCTTTTTCTGGTTCAAAAGTAAACATTTCTCCCGGATTAACTTGGGCCACTGGGGATTTGCAGTGGAAATTTTTGTTTGTTTCTTTTAGGTTCTCCCAAAGAATATTTGGAAACTTTCATCTTTCCTGTTCTGCTTCCTGGAATGGCTAGTCTGCTCCATCAAGCGAAGAAAGAAAAATGTTTCGAGGTCAGTGGTTTGGCAGGATTTATTTTAGGATTCTCAATAATTCATTATTATCAGATGATCGCTCATTATCTTGGTACCATCAAGTTGTTCTTCAGATGACCCCTTCGGGAGGGAAAGCAAGTGTTTGGGGTCACTTAGCCAGTTCCAGCCACACCACCTAGTTGTGCACATACATGCGCTGCCATCTGTCTGGCCACTTGGACTCCGGAGAGGTTTTCCGCCTTGCTTGGCCTCCTGCCTGCCCTTCTCCTGTGCAGTTTGGCATCCACCAGGTTTCTTGGGTCTTTGACTTCTGTTTATTACATGCACTGATTAGAGCTCTCCTTGGCTGGGCACAATGGCTCACACCTATAATCCCAGCACTTTGGGAAGCTGAGGTGGGAAGATCGCTTGATGACAGGATCAAGACCACTGGGCAACATAGTGAGACCCCCATCTCTGAAAAAATTTTTTTTAGAGAATGGAGTCTCACTCTGTCATCCAGCCTGGAGTATAGTGGCATGATCTTGGCTCACTGCAATCTCCCCCTCCTGGGTTCAAGTGATTCTCCTGCCTCAGCTTCTGGAGTAGCTGGGACTACAGGCATATGCCACCACACCCAACTAATTTTTGTATCTTTAGTAGAGACGGGTTTCCATGTTAACCAGGCTGGTCTCAAACTTCTGACCTTGTGATCCACCTGCCTCAGCCTCCCAAAGTGCTGGGACTATAGGCATGAGCCACTTCGCCCAGCCTCTAAGAAATTTTTTTTTTAATTAGCTAAGTGTGGTGGCACATACCTGTAGTCCCAGCTATTCAAGAGGCTGAGGCAGGAAGATCCTTGAGGCCAGAGGTTTGAGGTTGCAGTGATCCATGATCACATCAATGCAAGGAACGTGCTCCACCGCACTCCAGCGTGGGCAACAGCAAGACCCCCAACTCAAACATCCCATAAAACTCTCCTTACTTCTACTTTGCTCTGGACTGACTGATCCTCCTGGCCTCTCTCTATTCCATACCAACTGTCATGAATGTAAATTGCTTGCAGAGAGGCTTGTAACACAGTAAGTGCTCAGTAAATAACAGTTGACATTGCACTGCAGAGAATCATCTGTACAAACCGAGTTCCGATCCCGGCCTACCCCCATGTGGATACCCTTAGAGGGTCCCTCTTTTCCACAGTTCACGTGATACTTTGGGTGTATGTGTTTCCTGCACAGTTTTGAATTCTAGAATTTGGGATGATCCAGAAGAATAGAGTAAAAGTACAACATTTGATATTGACCAAGCACTCGCTCTGTGCCGAGCACTTTGCCAAGTGCTTTGTCTTCCATTATTGCAGTTGCTCTCCCCAGCCATGTGAGCTTCCTTCTGTTATTATCTGCACTCTGCAGAGGAGGACATGGAGGGACACAGAGGCCTGAAATGTGATCAAGGGTGAATGGCAGAGTTAGGACTCAAATCTAGATTAAATGATTCAAAATGATACTACAGGCTGGGTACAGTGGCTCATGCCCATAATCCCAGCACTTTGGGAGTCCAAGGAAGAAGGATTGTCTGAATCTAGGAGTTCAAGACCAGCCTGGGCTACAAAGTGAGACCCAGTATCTACAGGAGAAAAAAAAAAAATTATCCAGGCCTACCAGCTGGTGTAGTTCCAGCTGCTCAGGAGGTAGAAGGATCAACTGAGTCCTGGAGGTTGAGGCTGCAGTGTGCCATGATCATGCCACCCACCCCAGCCTGGAAACAGAGCAAGAAAAAAAAAGATACTAAAAAAATTGGCAGTAATTACGGTGTAAGCCTCAGTGAGTCTGACACATCCTGGGGTCTATAAAATTATTCAAAGTTAATGATATCACCCAAGTAGTTGCCCTTCAGCACGGGGTCCCCATCTGAGAAGAGCTGCGTACTGCTGTGCTGGTACTTCTGTATACCGAGGAGTTGAAGTTTCCACATGTTCTAGCAAACAGTTTTTCCTCATCAGCGCCTTGACGGTATCCTGCCCCCTTTGCCTCTTAATCACTCCATATTATACCTCCCCCTAATTGCCTGCCACTGAATCCACTTAGCATAACATTCCTTTGCAGGCCTCACCATGACAGTTGTGTCTTTACTTGAGACAGAAATGGATGATGAGACATTGATCAGAATTTGGGTAGCATACCTAGGAAAGAAGAATTTGGGATCTACCTCTGGGCCGTGGTTCACCACTGGACAGACAACAGTAGATCCACGTAATGAAGTCACTGGCCGTCAGCCTAGCTTTCAAGGCTCTGCCTAGTTCATTTGTTCCTTGGTTCTTTCCTTCCTTCCTTTCTCCCTGCCTCCCTCCTCCCCAGTGCCCCCCTTCCCGATGGTACCCTCCACCCAAGCAGAACCACTCAAAGTTCCCTGCACTACCTCACGGCCTCCATGCATCTGCTCCTGCTTTTTTTTGGCAAAAAAGTCCCTGAGCTCCTTTTCTCTGCATATTTAAGTTCTGCTTGGTTTTCCAAACTCAGCTCCATAACTTTTCTCTCAAGCTTCCAGTTCCCTGCTGGGCTCAAACTAGAAGTAATTGATCCCAGCTCTCAGATTTCAGAGGATTTCATCTGTTCCTCATTTTATGGCAAATTAAGACATCCTTAATTAAGACGTTCTTAGCCCACTTATACTTAATTTATGCATGTCTGTCTCCCCCACCTCCCCCGTATTTTAAGTTCCTTGAGGACAGATTCTCTGATTTATTTTTATATCTCTGGTCAATGCTACCCAATGCCTAGCACATGGTGAGCATAGAGTTGGCCCTTGATAAATAATAAATAAGTGAGAGGACCCAAAAATAAATTTTATGGGTCCTCTCACGGGAAGGAGGGGAAGGGGATTTTGTTGACACTTATCAAGCAATACTTCATTAATCCTCTCTGGAAGCATTTAGGACCCTCCAGGAACCCCCTGCCCATGCTAGCTCTTCAGACCCCTTCTGGATCCTGAACAACTGAGATGTGGCTCTCCACCTGCATGGCCCGCTCAGCAAGGCCAAAGTCTAGCATACAGTGTTCCCTCCTCTCTTAAATGCAATTCAGCCATCATGTAGCCCTTGCAGGTAGAACTGCGGGTGGAGGCTTCACATCTCTCACCCCAACAAAGATATAGTTGTAAGGTTTTCCTCATATTGCTTTGTCAGAAATCCTAGTTTTGACACAGAGGCCTGGTAAATTCAAATCTGGGGACTTCAGTCCCCCTCTTTCTCCTGATGTGCTACTATAGGCGTGGTTGCCATATTTGAACCTTGGAAGACCATAATGATCAGATCCCTTATTTTCACTAACAAGAGGGCACTATGCTGACAAAGACTGTAAACAGAAAAAGCTGGTAAAGTCAATGTCAGTGATTCGGGTACTGATGATTAAATCCGTGACACCTGTGGTTTGACTACTGCTATGATCATCATCAAAAATTGTGTCAAAAGTCAGAGAAGGCCCGGTGTGGTGGCTCATGCCTGTAATTTCAGCACTTTGGGAGGCTGAGGCGGGTGGATCACTGGAGCTTAGGAGTTCGAGACCACCCTGGGTAACATGGCAAAACCCATTCTCTACAAAAATTAGCTGGGCATGATGGCAAAAAGAGGAGCTCTCTCACTGATCAGTTGCTTGCTGTGGGTCAGCACTGGTCAAATGCTTCCTATGCCCATCACCTTGTTTCACTCTTACAATAACCTTCTGAACCAGACTCTCTTTTTCATCACGTCCCTTTTACGGACGATGGCCCTGGAATGCAGAGAAGTTGAACATTACTCAAGGTCACCTAGTAAGCAACAAAAATCACACATCTTCAACCAAGGCCCAGGTGATCCTGAAGCCTGGGTTTCCATCCCTCCCAGTACATGGGAGTTGGAGGCTGTCCTCAAAATAGCTCCCAGAGATACTGATTTTTTTTCATACATAGCTATTTTCTGAAGAACAGACTGCTCACTTGTCTTTGGCTATCAAATTTAAACTGCTTCCAATTCTTACCTGTTCTTCATTTGCTCACTTGGCTTTTCCTGACAATTTAATTCTTGTCCACTACTCATAACCGACCTTCCCCTGTCGTCTGTGTTTTGACTCTGCTATGATAATCATCAGAAATTGTATCAAATTGTGGTGTGATACAGTTGGTAGGTGTTCTGTGGTTAAAAAGGTGCAAGGTGTGGCTGAGTGGAATGGGAGTGGGGGTGGGATGAAGAGTGGTCCCAGAGCAGACCCTCAGCCTGGCCATGCCGTTGTCAGATGGCTTTGTCTCTCTGCCTTCCGTTTCTGCCGCTAAATGAGGAAAAGTATCTCATGAGTCATATGTCAGCAATTGTATCACTTTTTTCTCTCTTGCTGTTGACCAAAGTATATTCAGTGCACTGTGCCTCTTACTGAATTGAACAAAGGATGGAATATAATGATCAAACAATGAAATGAGCACAGTGGAATCATCTTTGTTTTCATACATGTAAAGAATATCAGCTGGGCGAGGTGGCTCATGCCTGTAGTCCCAGCACCTGGGATACCGAGGCGGGCCGATTACGAGGTCAGGAGATACAAGACCATCTTGGTCAACATGGTGAAACTCAATCTCTAGTAAAAATACAAAAAATAGCTGGGCCTGCTGGCACGCGCCTGTAATCTCAGTTACTCAGGAGGCTGAGGCAGGAAAATCGCTTCAACCCAGGAAGCAGAAGTTGCAGTGAGCCGAGATTGCACCACTGCACTCCAGCCTGGGAGACAGAGGGAGACTCTGTCTCAAAAAAAAGAAAAAGAATATCTAACAGTCAAGCAGGTTGTGTCACCCATGTTTAGTTCTGTTCAAAAAACATTCGTTAAGCACTGCTGTGTGTTGATCATAGGGCCAGACCCCTGTGCACACGAGAGGGGAAAAGACATGGTCCTCTCCTAGAGGAGCCATAATGATGAACTAAAGTTGTTTTTATTTTTCTTCCCCTTGTGTCTGTTTTTTTTTTTTTTTTACTCCTCTGCAGTAAGAATGAATAAGGAGAAATAGCTACAGTGGAT